AATTACAATATACATAAAAATTATGCATGATACAAAATTCTTTATGATAATGATACGTTTATAGTTAATTACTGCTATTATTTACTATCTTGGTTTGAAGTTTCTTAACAGAATTTAATGAAATCACAGTTTGTGGCTTCCTTCGTCCGCGTGTTGAAAGAATGCAACCTCACTGGACTTCCGTTGTTCTATTTTCGTTCAGTCGCTTAAGATTGGAGCAGAAAGAAATATACATGAGCAAGAGACTTTTGATAGGGTGATTTTTTAAAATAATTGACGGGCTCTTTATCGCGCGGTCGAATAAAAGACACATTGTGATTTCGAGATGGAATTTTCTCTAAATTCTTCAATATTTTACTTTTTATTATATATTATTACATATAATAAAGTATTAATTCCTTTATTTCGCATAGCTGTAGACACATTACAGCCTTATCGTATATTTTCTCTCCTACTGTCTTTCTCTCTCTCTCTTTAGTTTGCTTTATTGCTATTTGTCTATTCTCCTTCACTCTTCTGTTGAGGTCGATCGACTTCCGCCGAAATCAATACGAACCGTCTCCGTTACCATCTCACAGAGAAATGGTATGGTCTGATTTCTATACTGGATAGCGTTAGCGTCTGCGCAAGCTGATTTTTCTCGCCGAATGTCCTACATACGCGTTCGATCCTGCAGATCTTCCGGAAAACATGAATATAAATTCTTTTATATTAACCTTTCAGTAACGAGATCTGTAATATTTTCGCGTGGATATATATACACATATGTATATTGCAAATTAGCTCAGTTAATTAGTAAAGGCGTTATAATATCGGAGCAAGATACTAATGGCCTACTTGACAACAGAAACATAGCCGGCTCGCGTCGTCGCATTCGGTACTGCGTCGATCGATATCTTGAAAAAAGCCATGGAAATGTTACGTTGCCGTAGTGACTCTGTAATGACGTGCGCTCACTAATATAAAGAATCAATCGCTTGTATATTATTATAGAAAGTTGATCACTCAACTCCAGCATTAATTATATATCATTTTAATATAACGCATATATGCAATATTACTTAACCAATAATTGCATTATTTAAAACAAAATTGAGAATCTCTTCTAGTGAACTTGACAGCAGTACTCAATATTTTTTGTATCAATAAAACAAAACCTGATTTAATTATAATTATAATTATATATATATAATGCTTCAAATCAAAGATGTCAACTATAATCATATGGTTATAATATAAATTTACATTTTTGGGGAAACTTATAATAAATAGGCTATGTTACTCTTTTTGTGATTTATAGAGATTACATTATTCTATTAAAGATTATATTATTATATTATAATTTTGAAATTATTATATTAAATTAACACACATAAAAATATTTATGTGTGTCTTTGAAGGAATAATTATCATGAGAGCAAGTGTTTAAAAAATTTGTACTAAATAAAGAAATCTTATTTTTACATTTTTTCAGAGTTCTTTTTACGTTTCTCATATCGGAAAAGATATTGATACAGTATAATTGTTTATAGCGGATGCAAATTAACGAGAGATAAATGGTATGTTCTAAATATCGACGAACACATGTTCGTAATTAATCAATAATTATTCGTGATATTTAGTTATAACGTGAATATGTTGGGATTTAACGATGTGATTATGGCTTGACGCAGGCTTTATACGATTAAGCAAATGATCGTTCATCATGTTATTGTATATGCGAAAAGACGTTACTGATGATAGAATCAATCAGAAAATGATCCATCATTTAAAAAGAAGATTCGCATCAATGTCTTTCCTACAATTGGTAATCGATTTTCTACTTGAAAAAGAAATATAAATAATTCTGCATTTTATATAAATAATTGCATTTAATATAAATAATTCTGTATATCTGCATTTTATAAACAATTTTATTTAAAAAAAAAATTAAAGAAAAAGGATTGGCTGTTACTCATTTAAGTACAAGCGAGAATTACAATTATAATCGAACAAAATTTTTAAATAATTCAGGCTCATAAAAATTTCTTTTAATTTTGAGTAAAATCTGTAAAGAATCATAAAGAAAAAGATTAGAAAATATGTAATTTATTTATTTCATTTCTAAAAAAAATGTGAATTTATAACCATGTGATTGCATCCAACATCTTTGATTTAGAGAACGATTTCTTTCAGGCTTTGCTGTGCGTGCGCAAGTATATATTCAGTCAATGATTTGTATAACAAACGCATGGCATCGCTTACCCAATATCAATTCAGGCCAATTAGACGTCGAGTCATAATTGTCTCAGTGCTTCAGCCTTCGACCGTAGCAACAATAGAAATTACGCTGCTAAAACAATCAATTAGACTTGACGTTAATCCTAAACCAGGAATATAGCCTATCATATATATTCTAAATATATTTCTATTCTTTATTAACTCTTTCTCTTTCTCTCTCACTCTAAAAACCAAATATTACATTTTTTTTTAAAGTCAATTTTTTTTGTTTTTATATAAATCTCAAAATAATCCATTATTTTAAAAATTACAAAAAAGGTTAGAATTTTACATAATAGATTTATAGTAATTGACATAATAATAAAAAAATGTATGGGTAATTACAGATCGTGTAATACAAGATATGCATGGTTAAATGCGATTCATTGTTATGTAATAAAATGGCTTTCATGTATTTCGAATAGTTTCGATCGATTTTATAGAATTAGCCTTGAGACACTTTACCATGCGATGTACAAGAAACGAGAGCTCCGTAATCCAAGCCACTCGACGCATCATCTCCATTATTAACCGGATTCTCAAAACGCATTATTCTGAAAATACATTATTTCAGTATTCGCAGAATAAAAGAACATTTTTTTTTTATGCGAAGAGTGCGTGTCTCGTATAGAATTGTTATCTCAAACTGCTTCGAATAGGAGTTACGTAATACAATTATCCTAAAGAAAAAATATTAGCTAATATTAGTATTTTCGATAAAGAATACGTGTCATTTAGCATGTATTGTAATATACCTGCCATGTGTTCAAAGCAAAAAAATTTTTCAACAAATAATTTATTCTTCAGAAATTGATAAATAATCTTTGTAAATGTATTTTGATTATTAAAATTTAATAATTTAATAATTTAATAATTAAAAAAAATTAAAAAGAATTACAATACATCAAAACATCAAGATACGTCGTTTTCCAATTAGTGATTTAACTTGTAGATTTATTTCGAACTTGATGATTAAATAAATATTTTAATAAATAAGCAATGAATAAATACACATATCCTTTGAAAAAAGATTAGAAAATTTTACATTATGATATTTAGAATGTTTTGAGCTAAAGAAATACATATATTCGTTAATTTCACCGAATTTCGAAATATAATTAATTCCCTTTTGAATCCATAATTTAAGAACGTTATGACTCACGTAACTAATTATATTTTCAGCTAAGATTCTGCTGTTCTACGTAATTTTCTATGCCGTCCTATCCGGCTTTTTCGGCGCGATGCTGGCTGTGTTCTATCAAACTCTGGATCCTAACGCGCCCAAGTGGCAGCTGGACAACTCACTGATTGGCAGCAACCCGGGTCTCGGTTTTAGGCCTATGCCTCCTGAAAGCAACGTCGAAAGTACATTGATCTGGTACCAGGCCAGCGATAAGGGTAATTATCTTCACTGGACCAAGGAGCTGGACAGATTTTTGGCAGGTGAGCAAAAAATACTTGAATACAGCACAATCTCTATGATGTATACTTAATACATTTACTCAAAATCAGATATTTGTTAATTAACGAGCAATTTGGAGAATTGATATATGATTTCTGAAATATAATTTATCGTGCAATGCAGGATATGAAAAAACGGCCAAAAATCGCGAGCAGAGAGTGATCTGTGATTATAACAGACCAGCACCACCAGGTAAAGTTTGCGACGTAGATATGACTGATTGGGGACAATGCACGAAGGAAAAGGAGTATGGCTTCCAAAAACCCGCACCTTGCATTTTCTTGAAACTGAATAAGGTTTGTGTACACACTTTCTTATGATTATCCACCGGATTTTTGATAAAACTTTTAAAAGTAGCCAAAACGTCAAGGAACAAGTCATTCTTGTTTTTCATTTTTTAAATAAGCATTTTTTTATGATGGTTTCATCTAATGCCATGTGCGTAGGCATAAGCATTTTAAATATATCCAGAATGATCGAATGTTGAGTTTCTCAAGATAAATAATTATAAATAATTAAGGATAATGTATATAATTAGAAATAATGAAGGATATATTTAAATATATATAATTTTTAATAAATTTCAAAATTTTATTATTAGTTTCTGTATTTTTATATGACTGTTTTTTTCTCAGAAAAAATGAGAAAATGAGTTTTCAAAAATTTAGAAGATTACATCCTATTTTCCCTTTCTTAAGGATAGATTTTATATTTAAAATTGCAAAAACGATCGAAAAAGAGAGAGAGAGAAAGAGAGTGAAATGTAATAAAGTATTTGATATTTATTTCAGATTTTCGGATGGATGCCGCAATATTTTAACGATACGAAAAATCTGCCGGATTTAATGCCAGCGGATCTTCAGGATCATATCAAACAAGAAGAAATGAACAGTGTCCACAGACTGGACACTGTCTGGGTGTCTTGTGCTGGTGAAAACCCAGCCGATGTGGAGAACATGGGACCGATTCAATATATTCCGCGCCGCGGTTTTCCCGGGTATTTTTTCCCATTCAGAAATACCCCGGGATATCTGAGCCCCCTTGTAGCTGTGTTCTTCGAAAAGCCCAAGTGTACGTTTACAAAATTCATTTGATACAAATGAAACACAACTAAAGTACAGTAATCAATCTGAATGTTTAAAGATCGAAGAATTTTCGTTTAAGAGTATTTGTAAATTCTATGAATGAAGTAATTAACATTCATCGGTTTTGTATTTATAGACGGCGTGCTCATCAATATCGAGTGCAAGGCATGGGCGCACAATATCATCCACGACAGATTCGAGAGACGCGGCTCGGTACACTTCGAACTGATGGTGGACTAAGCCCGGTCACTTCGGCCAATCGTCAGATCACCATCGCCACCAACCGCGTCCAAAAAGTAGGAAGCCGCAAGAGAGTAGAACAGAGAGAAGACGTTTCCTTTTTTTCTTAACCCGCCCTCGTTGGCCGACCGCGATCACACCCCGTATACCATCCGGTTTTCTCTCTGCCGACGATACCGCCCCGGATCAGCCTTACTTCTTCTTCATCCACCATCATTTCTTCATCAGCTCATCGTTTGTTCATCATACTTACAACGATCGCGACAGCGCTGTCGATCCGTCATGTCAGTCGTCAAGAGAGAGAGAGAGAGAGGGAGAGGGAGAGGGAGAGGGAGAGAGAGAGAGAGAGAGGGAAAAGAGCGAGAAAGAGACAAAAAAAAGACAAGAGAGAGGAAAAAAATTGCATCCATGAGAAAATAAACTCGACTACATCAATCGAGGTGCACAAAAAAAAAAAAAAAAAGAAATTGAATCGGGAAGAAAGAAAGGGGAAACGAACAATCCCGCACAAATGCCGGGCGGTATCTTGTCTTATTTCTGCCAGGATTGTGTCATCGAGGAGTGATCTCGACCATCGACGGCTAAGTCGATCGTTCGCAATACTCGATCCTCACGCGCGCGCGAGAGAGATTCTCTCCTTTTAGTTGAAAAAAAAAGAAAACTCCCCACCGAGACCGTTTTCGATTAGATCTTTTAAACTTTTTCCGTCACATACCTACGTTCCTTTTCACGATGACGAGCTTGGCCGATGACTTCTCACGGCACTGCGAATGATCGATGATGATTCTAGTTCTTAGCCATGTAGCATGTATCATAGATTAGTGTTTTCTGCCCGTCACGCGCTACTATACATCTTGATATGTCGATACGTTAAAATTCTTGGGCTGTTTAACGAGAGAGGAATGACACTCGCGGTGAATTCTAACGGGAGACGGCAGGCACAAAGGGGTACAAGTACAGGCTCAATTGAACAAATTGTCATCGAGAAATATAAACATAGCATGTGACGTTATTAAAGATTATGAGCAGTGCTGAGATTTGGTTCCCCCGAATAAATTAGTCACAAATGACACGAGACTGTCAACCGTCAATGTCTATCGCAATGTTGAATGAGATTACAAATTATGTGCGAAATCACCATGTGTGAAATTTTCCGGTATTGATAATAACTTAGGTAAACTACCTTACGAAAAATGTATAAAAAATTCTTTAAGAATTTTTTTGTTCCTGTTGAGGTATCATCGAAACGCGGTAAAGTACTTCAGTTAGTTTGAAACTAACGCTAGTTTGGCGAGAAAAATACATTTTTATTTTGATAAATAATATAACCCAGCTGCTTGTTTGACACGTCACGTTTATAGCGTAGCACAGGTCGCAACATTGATCAGAATTCTATTTCTATCATTGACCGTAAAAGCTGTAAAATCGTTTGCGATATGCGTGTTGCGTTATGGTTGTGCGTTGTATGTTAACAATTGTTACTTGTATTCCTTTGTTTTGGATACTTTCAATTAAGCGTTACAAAAATAAGAGAGTTATTATATTGAAATCTTTGCTATGAAGAGTACGATGAAAGAGTATTTACCAAAGAAATGGATATTAAGAGTTTTGATCGGCGAAAGCGATCGATGGTTATTGTCCCAATCAATAATATGTTGAATGTGTATGATGATCTATGATTCTATATGATGCATTTTTCATCCAATACTGCAATCTACGGAGAGACACACACAGATTTGCAGAATCTAGCATCCATCGATTTTTAAGATCGTAAACACTCGGATCTATAAACTCTTGGACTGGAAACTCTTTTGAATTGTTGGATTATTAAAAATGTATCTTAAATAATATTGTAAAAATATGTTAAATCATATTATGGACGTATAATCAAATCAATTAATAAACAAATTAATTAATAAGTTCTATATTCAACAAGAATTTGTGTAAAATTTTTGCGGCTTTGTATCGTTTTAATGAATGCATATAAATATGGCATTTTAATGAATTTATTAATCTTAATCCATCAGTCCAAAAGGAGTTTGTGAATTAAAAGAATTTGTACTGCAAAGGAGTTGAGATGAACTCCTAGAGATCTTGATATTTTGAGAACTTAAGGATTTTTATAATCTCTATAAAACATTTTTATTCTATTAAAATATACGATTAAAATTGTGAAATTTATATCAATAATTTTAATATTTAAATTCAATAACTTAATATTTAAATTATTGAATTAAAATATTTTGTGAAGCTTAGGAGAATTTATTAATTCAAAGATGAAATGTGAACGACATTATGACGCAAAAAGTCCAAGAATTTATCCGATCCGAGTTCGTCCGTGCGTTAATATACAAAGATGTGTAAAATAAAAATACGTTGAGATGCATGAAATATAGAAACGCGGATCGTGATATATGGACTTAAAGAATTTATGAATTCAAAGATTTATGTGATATCAACGATCTGTATATCTAAGACTCTATAGGCCCGAGAATCTTCTTATCTGAGGATGCACGAGGGCAAGAATCTATACACACTCAGGAATCTATACAAATTAACAGCGAGAAAAAATCAACAAGAAGAGAAAAAAAGGAAGAGCCATACAGATCCCAAGATCTGCGCGCGTCGCGCATCTAAGAGTCGAAATTTTAAAATTTACGAAAATATCAAAAAATTCGAAATAATCTGTAAGTCCAAGGATCTATTGATTTCGTGCTGATTTTGACATTGAATTCGCAGTTTTGAAAAATATTTTCACGATCAATCATGTGAGAGATATGAATTATTGCGGCACCATCAGCTCCGCATTGACAAGATACATCATGATAGCGGAAGCTCTGACACGCGTCTAGTATACTTACTATGAACAAAGTTCCAAGAAGGAGAACTGCTATATAATTACTGAGGAAGAATTAAAGATCTCTAGACTTAAAGGAAGTTTCAAAAGAAGAGCGCACTCGCGCGATCAGTAATTACTACATTTTTAAGATAGGTTAATAGTATGGAAGATGCATATTGATCGAATACTAATAATGTAAAGATGTTATACTAATGATACACGTATATATCGATAGCCAAAGTATTAAAATTGTTGACGCATTAATAGTAATACTGATCGTGTGGTAGCCCTCCGTAAGTACTTAAATCCAATTTAAAAGCGATATTGATTATTGTTGGTACGTACTTAAGTCAAAGGCTCCATCGATCTTAAATCAAACTGTCGATAATCAGTCTCGATTTATTATACTGCGCAAGATTTATGTTGAAGCTTCGGAAGAGAATTTTATCGGTCATACGATGCGATATGAAATATATGAAACGCATATTTATATATAATATAATTACATTGTATCATATAATTATATATAATATTATTTCATCTGAAAGTCGTCAAGTTCCTTCGCCAGGAAGAGGAGTCGGAATAGCTGTTTTTTTCTGCATCAACGCGATATTACGATCTGACACACGGAAGGAAGACAGAGAGATTCTAGAGAGATAAACGTGAACGGAATATTGTGTTGGATCGTTTGAATATAGATACTCTTTCCCCGATGGAGCTCGCAACTGAAGAGACGGTGTATCGAATTTTGTGTAATTAATTCTTTTATGTAGTCTTATTAGGTTAATTACTGTGCGAATAATATGTATTACAGTAGATATAAGTATCGGTTACGTAAAAATATAGATCTTAAAATCTGTAAATCTATTAATCCGTAGATTCACTGGTCATTAGTTTCTTAGACCTATGCCTCTACAAATGTGTAGCATCGCAGCTTGAAAGGTAAATAGATCCATGGATCTACAGAGGTTCACAGAGATCCATTGATCCACGAAAATGCACAAGTTCATAAAAAAAAAAAAAAAATTCACATATACTGAATAATCCACAAATTTATATAAAATTTCATCGATTGATTTATAATTCCTTGAACCTGAATATTATTTCTAAATTCTTTGACTAATATCTTCACAATATAACCGTCAAGCACCTGTTCGTTTAAGTCGAGAGTTAGATCAACCGTGTGTATCTTCAGATATAAAACATCTAACATTATACAAATAACACAGGCATCTAAAAAATACCCATAAGACGTTCTTCTTTAAGGCATCTTTAAGATTTTCCGAAAAAGTGTTCTGAAGATGTCTTTAAGGCTTTCCGAAAAAGAATATCTCATTTATAGCACTTAGTTATATGTGATCTTTTTTTTTTCGCGCAGATTATGCAAAAAACAAAGATGTTACTATAGGCATTATAATAATTATTGTAACAACTTATATTAATTTTTATGCATATCGCGTGCCTAAAGTTTGGTGAAGCTAAAGCTTTAGAAAGAATTATAATTAGATCGCGGCCTGTTCAATTCTTAATGAGACCGCCGGATGAGATTTTTTTTTTCTCCCTTCCGTTACTCTCGACTTTTTCTTCTGTAAAAATCCGTTCGATTTTGCCGACTGTCACCGATCTCTGAATAAGTCGGACGAACTCATCCGTGATCTAATTATAATTTGCAATCGGTTGGCAGCAATAGGGAATTAATAAATAAAATGGAGACGCCTACTCTTTTCTTTATATTATATATTCCGTTCCCTCTTCTCTCCTATTTTCAAGTTACCCGCTCGCACACCTATAAAAAGTTAAAATCTTCAAATAATCTCGCGGATGCGTATCAAGCATCCGAAATGAATGCCCGTCCATGCGCGCAGAAGCGCCTAAGAGTAGTCTTAAATAAGACGCGTTTGTAAAAAGGGCCATTGAAGAGATCTATGACACTCACTCTATAAATTTTTAGTACGCATCTTTTAAATCTTTAGACTCATAAATTTTATAGAATATAAATTTTTAAATAGACAGATCCTTGCATTCAAAGTTTTGTAAATTCGTAGATTCTAATTTTCCGCGCGGGCATTTTTAAACTTAAAGAGAGATAAAAAGAAACAGAAGAAAAATTAAGAGATAGACAAAAATATAAAACGTTAAAAAAATAATATATTATTAAAAAGTGATTATATACTATAATGGAAATTAAATCACGGAGCGATTATATATTATTTATCATTGCGATTAATCTGTTTCTAATCATGAACGTGTAACTGTTGTTGAAGTATAACGTTGAGAACAAGATGAAGAAGAAAAAGAAGAAGCGGCCCTTAATATAATAACGTACATAGTCCAAGCTAATTGTGTTTACATTTTGTCAGATCGACGTCTGCTCTTTAGAGTTATCGAATTTTATCGAGCAAAACTAACAAATTCTTTCCCTGTATTTTTAATCGGGGCATGTTTGTTCTAACAATAAGTACCCTTTGTTTCGTTTGTCATACGGAATGTGAGCGGCAAATCACATTTATCATTCAAGCGCGGATGCAAAGGAAAGTTTAAAGAAAATCGTAAAACCAAAATGGATGAAAAGCTAAAAAGGAATTTGTGCACAATTCATTATGTGTACCAATGTCCTAGATATATCCGTACTTACACATATATACCACTAATATTTAATTAGATAAGGTATTGTTAGCATATTGTTAGCAAATGTTTTTAAAAGATCGATATATTATACGTGCATGCATTCTCCTGTTGAAGATCCTATATGTCGTTGAATTATTGATAATTCGTTTCTAGAATTTAAGCAGAATTTAAGAATCTGTCCTATGTTGCAATATATAATATATACGGCGGTATATTATATACATAGATATATTGAGTAAACATTTGTTCATGGATATGTGACAGATGTGTATATGAAAATCTGCAATATAAATGTTATTATAATTCTACGACTTATTTAGATCGCAACTCCTTAGTAAGAATATACTCGGTAAGATATTTAGAGCGAGAATATCCAAGGTTTGTTTTATACAGAAAATTTTGCTTTTATTAAAGTAATTCAATTTAATGGAAATACGAGTATGGGATACAATTTATAAGATTTAGAGACTCCATTCTCGCTTCATATATACAGAGCGTTGAAATTACTATCGTGTGATTTACAAAGGTATTATTTAATTTTTAAATGGAAAAATATTATGAAGATTAGATGAAAATTACTTAATTTCAGGAAACATAAGTAGAGTAATTAAACAATTTTATGGATAAACAGCTAATATTATATGATATAACGCGATAATTAATATTTCCTGATTAATAACTTAATCGTCAAATGTTTCATGTTATCTTTGCGATCGATCGCATTGTTATCAATGAAGCGAGACTTTATTCAAGAAGCGATTGTATATGTATATGCCATAGTAAGTCTTTGCATATAAAATTAACTAAAAATAAGATTCGTTGACGATCTAAAATATTTCAGATTATTATTTTGATGGTCAATCATTTTCACATGCTCTTCTCTTTCTAATATATTTTATATCTCTTTCACAATTTATTGTATATGGGAAAAAGGTTCATCGACAAAATCTGCATTTTAAAAAATATCTTCGGAGACACAAATCGAGAAAAGAGATATTGAATTAGCATATATATGCGTTTACATTAGTATAAGAATAAGCGTTCGTCAAGAACGTCGTAGCAAATCCATGAGATTATACACGACATACTAGACGTTAGAAGATTATTCTTTCGTATAGATAATGACGAGATAGAACCTCGCAAAGCAGAGATTAGCGTTAATTTAGACATTTTAAGAATTAAGTTTGTCGCGTCTTTAATTATAATTAACCGATCTAGAGCCGCTTTATTATAATCATATTATCATCATCTCGATGAGACTTTAACATTCTCGTTGAACATCATATGATTAATACCGTCGTCGATCTTTTTTTTTTCAAATCAACATCCTGTTACGCATTTATCAGCAAAATAATAATTATCACATTTACGGACCAAAAGGAATAAGACACTAGTGCGCTGATAATTTATTTCCGCTACTTGTTAGATAAAATAAATGCGATAAATTTGACATAAGAATCTTTAACAAATAAAAGAAGAAGAGAAAGAATTTTAATATATAAAAAGAAAAGAAGAGAAAACATGAAATTGATAGATGCTCTTATTTAAATTGGATTGGCAAATGCTTTATTTTTATATTGCGACGCGCAGGCTTATATTAGAAAGATATACCTACTAATTTTTCCGCGGAAAAATGCGGATTTTAAGGACGTTTAGAATCGCATTCATTTTTCACTTTGAATTTTCCGCATCACAATTTATTCTGTGTAACCTTGGTTTCGAAATGCAGACGTTACTGTAGACGACGGAAGATTTAAACGCGATTGGCTAACAAGGCACATACGGCCGAGGAGTAATTGTTGATTACACGTCGTTATACTTGAAATATATGTTATGGAGAATAAATCGGATCTATAGAATCGTGGATGTATTTCATTAGATGAATATCAAAGAGCTTAGAAGAATAAGACTTGATTCAATTTTTTTTTTTTTTTAAATATACATATATAGTCTTCTGATGTGAGGACTCTGTCGTTCAGAGGATTGCACCCTGTGTTGTAATAACGGTACTCCAGGGGATCAATAAGCATGCATCGACGGTGAATTTCTTCGATTTCAGGGTAGGAAGCGAGGTGGGAGCACTTATAAGAGCCGAGAAGCGACGCTGATTCTTCCGTCTATTTCGCTCGAAATTCTCCGCCGGACGGCAATGACATTAATGTCACATGATAAGATGGGCAGGATGTGGTCAATTCAGATCGTGTCTCCGTGTGTGACTCACATTACACGCGCCTAGCTCTCGTCCCGGTGAACGATAAAGGGAGTGGAGTGGACCGAACACACGGTCGTGCACACACGCGTGTCCCGACCGCGCGGCCGCTAAGGTCACACACACGTGGGTTGACCTTAGCCCCCAATTTGTCCCCGGACGATTCAGCCGAGGAAATCGTATTCGTCGGTTTTCTAAATCGCGACGCGTCATAAGCGAGATCGTGGAAGATCAACTTACGTTATATCAAGGTGCTGTCAGCGAAGCGCTGAGAGACGCTAAACTGTTATCGGATTCCTTACTTATTTAGTTACGAAAAAAAAAAAACTAACGAACAAATAAAAATGAAAAATAATATAAAAATTAAAACAAAAAAAATATATATA